CTAGGATTTTGATAGATTCCTGTCTCACATTGAGGTCTTTCATCCACTTTGAGTTTATCTTTGTGAATGGTGTTAGAGAATGGTCGAGTTTCATTCTTCTGCATGTGGCTGTCCAATTTTCCCAGTACTATTTATTGAAGAGACTATCTTTTTTCCATTGCATGTTTTTTTTGCTTTGTCAAATTTATTCTATGTATAAGTGGGATCATATGGTATTTGTCTCTCTGCCTGACTTATTTCACTGAGCACAATGCCTTCAGGGTCCATCCATGCTCTCACAAATGCCAATATCTCATTCATTTTATGGCTAAATTATATATATATAAATTTTGTATATATATAAATATTATATATGGAATTATATAATATATATGGAATTATATAATATATACATATGTGTTTAATATATATAATTATATATTATATAAATATTAAATGTGGAATTATATATTTAATTATATATATAGCACATTTTTAAAAATTTTATTTTAATTCCAGTATAGTTAACATAGAGTGTTACATTAGCTTCAGGCATACAATACTTTCAACATCTTTCATACATCACCCAGTGCAGCACACTTCCTTTATCCTTTCATCTACTGATGAACATCTAGGTTGTTTCCATGTCTTGGCTATTGTAATTATGCTGCCATGAAATGTAGGTGTGCATATCTTTTTGAATTTCAGTTTTGTTTTCTTCAGATAAATGCTCAGAAGTTGAATTGCTGGATCATATAGTATTTCAAATTTTAACTTTTCCTATTTTAACCTCCATACTGTTTTCCACAATGGCTGCCCCAATTTGCATCCCTACCAACAGTGCACAGGGTTCCCTTTTCTCCACATCCTCACCAACACTTGTTGTTCCTTGTCTTTTTGATACTGACCATTCCAAGAGGCTTGAGGTGATATCTCATTGTGGTTCTGATTTGCATTTCCCTGGTGAGTAGCAATGTGAGCATCTTTTCATGAATCGGTTGGCCATCTGTGTGTGTTCATTGGAAAAATGTCTATTCCGACCCTCTGTCCATTGTTCAATCATATTGTTTGTTTGTTTGTTGATATTGAGTTGTGTGAGTTTTTTATATACTTGGGATGTTTACCCCTTATCAGGTATATGACTATCAAATATTGTCTGCCATTCAGGAGGGTGCTTTCTCATTTCATTGATGGTTTCCTTTGCCATGCAAAAGTTTTAGTTTGAAGTAGACATTTTTTTCCCTTAGCTTTTGTTCCCTTGCTTTTGATGTCAAATCCTAAAAATCATTGCCAAGACCAATGTTTTCTTCTAGGAGTTTTATGGCTTCAGGTCTTACATTCAATTCTTTAATCCATTTCAAGTTAATTTTTGCCTATGGTGTAAGATAGTGGTCCAGTTGCATTTTTTTGTAGTGGCTGTCCAGTTTACCCAACACCATTTATTGAAGAGACTGTTCTTATAGATTCTTATAGATTTTTGTCTCCTTTGTCATAAACTAATTAACCACTTACCTGTGGGTTTATTTCCAGACTCTATTCTGTTCCATTGACCTGTGAGCTTTTTATGCCAATATCATGCTGTTTTGGTTACCATACCTTTATAATATAGTTTGAAATCAGGGAGGATGATGCCTCCAGTTTTGCTCTTCTTTCTCATGATTGCTTTGGCTATCTTTGTGATTCCATAAAAATTGAAGGAGTGTTTGTTCTATTTCTGTAAAATATGCCATTGGAATTTTGACAGGGATTACACTGAATCGCAGATTTCTTTGGATAGTATGGACATTTTAACAGTATTAATGCTTCCAATCAATGAACATGGAATATCTTTCCATTTCTTTGTGTCTTCTTCAATTTCTTTCATCAATGTCTTACAGTTTTCAGGGTATGGGTATTTCACCTCCTTGTTTAAATTTACTCTTAGGCATTTTATTCTTGTTGATGCCGTTGTAAATGGGATATTTTTTATTTCTCTTTCTGATAGTTTCTTATTAATGTATAGAGTTGCAACCAATTATTATATATTAACTTTATATCCTGCTGAATTCATTGATTAGTTATAACAGATTTTTTCTTTTAAATAATTCATTGAATTACAATGGCATACAAGAAACTAATTTAAAATGTAAATTTTTTCTGAATTCAAGTAATCATACAAAAATTAAGAATACATCTGCATTAGTCCATTTATACATAATTCAAGATAGTACACAAAAGCTTGAAAGATTTGTTATATAGTTGTAAAAAATGTAATCAACCTGAAAAATCTGTTTCTTTATTTCTAATGGCGATGTGGGATAATAAACCTAATTCAGGTGGATGTTATTAGGAATAAATACAGTGTTCTGAATTATTTGCTGAATCCAAGAAGTCTTTCATGGGTAAGGAGCATATGCACAGATATGTATGTGTGCATTTGTGTATTACTTCCTACAAATACACTCTTACACATGTATGTACAGCACAGACTCAATAATCCTATCTTTATGTTGAAAGGAAATCTGAAAGAAATTTGGGGAGGATAGAAATCAAAAGAGTGAATGTTTGAACTAGCATGAAATTAAAAGAATATAGATATTTAGAATGGGAAAACTTAATTTTAGTAATGAATTCCTTTTTTTAATCTCAAAGTACAAAAGGCTCAAAGTCAGAATTTATATTAAAAGAAAAGAATCTATATTTAAATGTAAAGTCACAGAGCACTTGGCTGGCTCTGTCAGTGGAGCAAGGAACTCCTTTTTCTTTAAAGATTTTATTTTTAAGTGATCTCTACAGTAATGTGGGGCTCAAATACACAATCCTGAGTTCAAGAGTCACCCGCTC